ATTACTGTTGGGCTGAATTAAGCCGCTTTTTCGTAGAGGGGTACTAGGGTCACAGAGTCACACCCTCAAAAGAGGGAGGGGGCTTATAGATTTGATAGTGAATATTAGCAAGAAGTGGCGAGGCTGAATTCGATTCAGTAAACATATTGCTGTTCGTGTGTTTTATTTTTTTTGTCCACTAACAGCGACCACTGTTGTTCATAATATTATTTTTGCGGGGAGTGATTTGAAACCGCCTATATTCAGGCCATCACAACAGATGTTTCTTTCGGGAAAATGCCTAACTTGAATTCCTTTGTGTTCTAGTGTAAAAGAATGACCACTTGGAATCGAAGCAAGGCAGACTGAAAAGACTGCAAAATCAGAGGTCATAACTACAGTCGGTAAATTTCATCTTGCGCCACATTAGTTTGGATTCTGAGAAGGTTTAACTACTGTTAGCACTCATTTCACATCATCATTCATTTTATTAAGATGAATTGTAGAGTGAAATACATTTATTTCTTTGACACACTTTGTTACATACGCTATGGTTAAATTCGTGGTTCATTTTGAATATCATTGGGAGAGGTAAATGATCTATGGAAATAGAAAATTCTGTATCGTCTTTTCAGAATAATCTGGGTAGTTGAACACAGCTCTACTCTTTTACCAAAAATAATCAAGCTCATTTTTGAGTATAATTCTAAAATAAATGTCAATCAAATTCCTCTTGTTTAAAGTTTCACATCGTTCATGTCTACATCTTGGAATGCTCCTTGAACAGTTTATCTAAGTTAACAGTAAGCATTATATTGCCCGTCACCTTCAATTTTCCCTTCATAAACAGTTGTTGTGCATTGAGTTTCCCTGCAGCAAGCCCTATAAGATCTTCATCCGATACAGTAATAGTGCAATCCGGCTTTAGTGAGTTAGATATTCCTTCTATGACTGCACCGCTGCCTGTCTTGAGGTCTATCACCCACTGTCCTAATGTCTTGCCATTCTTTGTCACATTCCACTGAAAGATTCCTTTGACTTTCTTGACAAGTTCTGGATGGGAAGAGATTCGTTTCTTGAGCTCTTGGAAGAGAGCTTCACTCTTGAGACCAGAAGAAGATGGCTTCGAGATTAAAGAATTCACATCCTGCAACACAATGAATTATGGCTTTTATTACCTTGAAACTTGTGTCATGACACAAATCACACTGTAATAGTAGCACAAGGCAAAACTTTTTATCCTTTCTTTTTATCTTGGAAGGGGTGGGGGGGGGCAACATTGCTGGTTGGGGTTCAGGTGAAGGGACAAGGTCAATGCAGCGTGCTTCATTGCCATTGTACCCAAGTGAAAATTTCACACTGCCCTCAAGCTTCTTCTATTAAAATAGCATCACTAGAAAACTTACAGGTACTTCTTGAGTGATGTTCACCAGGTCTACATATCCTCCTGAAAGCACCACATTGCCATTCTCTACCACCTTGCACTGAATGTGAATGCGATTATTCTCCCTCCACATATCAGTCTGTATAGTCTGCCCTGGGACCACCGGTTTTGCAAAGCGGGCTTTCATGGCACTGAACTTAGTGACATCATCATTGGCATACTGCTTTAGGACATGACGGCAAGCAATGCCAAATGAGCACAGGCCATGAAGAATTGGAACTGAAAATCCTATAAGGAAATGAGTGTATTGATATGATTATTGAATGGAATCCACTGTTCGAGAAGAATCAGGGCAAGAAATGCATGCAGAGTTGAGGTAGGGCTTGAAATGTATATAGCATGCATACATACCAATGGCTAATGTACAGGCCCAAAATTACAGCTGCAAGACAAAACATTATTTGAAATATCAAATAAAAAAGAAAATGAAAAAACTTACCTCCCATTTGAGCAAATGCAGGATCAACATGCAGTGGGTTGTAGTCACCACTAAGTCTATACAATGCCGCTTGAGTTACTCCTGTTTTCTCCTGGATTGATGCATCTGGATTACGAGAAGGGGCATTCACCAAAGGCTTGGCTTTGTCAGAATTTCTCTTTCCTCCAAATCCTCCTGATCCACCAAGATAAATGGCAGACTGGTTGAGACAAATCGCTTCCCCTTCTTCATCAAATGTGGTAACATTTAGAAGAACGAGAGCTCCTTTTCCCTTGTCCAGTACATCTACAACCTCAGATTTTGTGGTCACAGTACCAGATGTGGGGAATGGTTTAAAGAGCTCAATATATTGCTCTCCATGGAGAAGCTGAAAAAAGCAACATGTTTTCACAGGAAAAGGTTAAACCCTAATAATACCCAAGGCAGTGGGAAGAAGAGATAAAAATTCAATTTGGGAGAGGGTCTTGAAGTATTAGCTCAGTAAGACAACTGCTATTATCATGCTTTTTTACATTCATATGACATCTTCCACAAGATCTCAAGCAGGATTTAGTCTAGGATTTTGACTTTCATCCCAAAAACAAAAGTTGCTGGAGTTTAAAGTGCCTATCACCCTTCTGACAATATT